TCAAAAACGGTTATTTTGAGCTTTCTATTCATTAAAAAAAATCCTGAAAAAAGAATCACGGTTTTCAAAAAAAAAAAATAATAATAATAATAATAATAACACCACAACTGTTTGCAACATTGATAACAATAAGTAAATAAATACATACATACATAAATAAATAAAGACTTTTTTTATTATTATTATTATTATTATTATTATCAAGCTTTGTGAACACGATTTTCAAAAACATTAAAATATATAACAGACCCCAAACTTTTGAACAGCGGTGTACTAAACCTGCATGTAAGCTTTGAAATGTACACATTGGTGTGTAGTGAGAGGAAAGCCTTGAGCGTTGCTTCTCTAATGTAGTCTAATGTTCTGAAATGAAAAGCAGTACATGTATTACAGTAATAGCCAATGAGTCATAGGGCAGCCAGAGGCTCCTTTGTGCTGCAGGTTATGGGGTAAAACCTGTAGGCTTCACTTCTCTGGAAACCAGCACCCTATTTCTGATCTCCTCAGATTTCTGTGCGATACTCTTTAGATACTGCAAGTCAGGCAAAACTAATGGCTAGAAAAACACAACTGAGAGGAAAGCGAGAGGTTCAAACAGTATTCTTAACAAATATGCTCTCCACTTAAAAGCCACAAATGGCCTTAACCATTTCTTTCTTTATTTTCCTTCTTCTCTTTGTGCAAACCACACAAAATGTGCTGTGTGAAAGAAAACTCATTTAAAAGCCAAAGAATAGGCTTATTTTGGAATTATCACGTTTTTGGTCAGCAAAGCACAAGCCCAAGCCACAGCACATGGTCCACATTAGTCGCACAAAACAATACTCATATTTGGACCTCATAGTATTTGGAACACAAACAATTGTGGCCATGTCACAACAAACGGAGTCCCACGTATTCTCTACACCAAAGGTTGTGGCAAACTCAAATTCTGCTTGTACTGGAAAACTTCCATGCGGTGGGACACTGTCCTCCTTTGAGTCTTGATATGTGAGCCAGATCCTAAAAAAGGAACTACTTATGCAATCAAGCTGTCCATTGAAATTCACGCTACACAACGGAACATCGTGTCAGTTGCGTTTGAGACTTGGAGATTTTAGATTAAAACGGAGACTGTGCACAAAACATATGGCGCACAGTGGAGGGGATTCGTTTAAGGTTTTGAATAATGCATGTGACAAGCTTTCCTCCTTATATAAACTATTTTAATGAACTATATGCATGCAAAAAGGGCCTCTGGCTGATAGTACTAATACAAGGAGGTGGAAATCCATTATTGTGCATTCAATTATTCAAAGGTCAAACAGAAACGTATGAAAAATTGATGGACCCCATAGAGCAGGTGGTATGCAGATGTCATCATGTAGGGTGAGACAATATGGGAGGTTCCTCAGAGAGCCATGGAGTGTGAAAGGAATAATCGCCTGTGCTAGAAGCTGAGATTGACTGGAAGTCCTTTAGCACATTTTGTCCGTGCTTAATGGCACTATCAGGGTGTCATAACATCTGTGACATGCAGAGACATCATGCTCATTTAAACTGAGACGACATGTGCCCCTTTAGATTTGTGAGCCAAATGGATTCTGAATAAGCTTCTAAAAAAAGCATATGTAGTATAATTTTATAATAATAAAGCTAGATTCTGCTAGAGTCATTATTAATCTAATTTGTAGGAAACTGTGTGCGTGTGTGAAATACTTGTATAGTAATAGTACTTGATAACTATATTTAAATATTATTTGGGGTCATTTGCACTTTAATGGACTACTGTTGAAACTAAATACCTACAATTACATTACTAAGAAAAAAAAACTTATAATCTATTACATTTAGACCTTCAGGGCTTGACACTTACTTTTTCCCCAAGGGAAAAAAATGTTAAAAATTTAGAAGCGCATAAAAAACTTTAATGATTTAATTCATTTGAATACACAAGTACGCCAGGTATTTAAATATATATGCTTCAAACTTTATTTATTTAATTATGAAATGATTTAGATGTTAAATATTGAATTAAAAGCCAGATACAGTTTACTAGGTAACTAAAACTTACACTGAGTAATGATTCACATTTCTTTAATTAAATCATTTCCTTTTCAAGTTTAATTATCACATCAGAGTGTATTGCGACCCCTTTTTTTTGGCTCCAATTTTAGCTCTCTTGATAACCTATAATTAAGACTTTTGTTATACTATTTTAGATATTCATGATTTTCATTACTTTAAATGTGAAAAAAAAATGAATTTAAGACTTTTTAGGACCCCGGATTTATGTTCTATTTACACACATACTCCTACATATATTTTTCACACTTACACACATTTCACAGTTACACATATCTATTTTTAGTCACAAATGTGAGTAAAATGCTTCATAGAAATATAAATATATATTATTTATATCGATTATGCCAAAACAGTTAGGTGAAATTAAGAAGTATTTAGGGGGTGTAATTAAAAGTAAAATAGTAATATATATTTATACTATACTCAGTACTATGGTACGGAATTTGTTGTTTAACAATTCAGTGAAGTGACATGTGGCCAAGTATGGTGACCCATACTAGGAATTAGTGCTCTGCATTTATCCCATCCAAAGTGCACACACACAGCAGTGAACACACACACACACACCGTGAACACACACCCAAGAGCAGTGGGCAGCCATTTTTAGCTGCGGCGCCCGGGGAGCAGTTGGGGGTTCGGTTTCAAGGTCGTGGTATTGAAGGTGGGCGAGAGCGCTGTACATTCACTCCCCCCACCTACAATCCCTGCCGGTACGAGACTCGAACCCGACTCTCTAACCATTAGGCCACGACTTCCCCATGATAGGGGGGAAACATCCATGACAGGATGTTTGATACAAATATTGATGCTCTGTTGACGCTCTAAAGCCTTACATAGCCAGAATATTGTGCAAAATTGTGCACAAAATTATTTTTTAAAATGAATATAGTCAAATGAATAAAATTATATAACAAATTAAATAATATAATAAAAAATGTTTAATTATAAATAGATTTTACTTTTAATTACTTCCCCTAAATACTTTTTACTTTCACTTAATCTATTTTGCCATAATTGATATAAAACCTAACACTCTTACTTTAATGCGAGTAACTTACATAAAATAGCTCAGTTGATTGTGCAAGTCACAGGAAGAACCCTGATAACAGATATTTTATATAACATGTCTTAGCGTCCTGCTATATTCTATGATATAAGAAATGTTTTGTCAGTTGCAGGTGTTGTAAGCATCATGCCTGTTTATCTGACTAGTCTGAAACAAGACCGTGGTGACTGATATTGGGCTGGTGACACCCTAGTGCTCTGATGGATGGCCTCAGCACTCCCTGAGAAAACATAATATGTTTGCTTTTTGATGAGAATCGCTAAAACAGGTATTACTTTGTGATGTACCTGGCGATATCAAATTTATATACAAAGGACTGTCATTACTAGAGCTGTCTGTCTGAATGTTGATATATGTGTAGCTGGCTGCCTATCAAAGAGCACCTTCAGGTTTCAATAACAGACAAAAGGGACAGTTCTCGCTAGTCCGCTTGCATTGTGATACTATCGCTGCTGCATATTATCAAAAACGGTATTAGCAAGGACGATCCCACAGGAGGCAAATTACATCTATGAATCTGATGTGATGGTGCAGCAAAATGATGGTGGGCTGTTGGGAGTAAAGTACAGATCTCACGCTGGGTATGACAAAGTTAGATGCGTGCAGATTTGTGTGTACTGGGTAATTGTATTTGTGCGGAGACTCACATGTTTTGCCCTTGCCGGTGAGGGGTTGGCTGGAGCCGGTGGTGTAGGAGGCGATGACCTGAACGCTGTACTCGGTGTCACTCAACAGATTGAGGATCAGCAGGGTGTTCACATCATCCTCTACAAACGTCTCTAGAGCCGGACCTGACACTGCGAACAGAGCGAGACAAGAGCTGAAAACAATCGATGCAACCTTACAGAAAAAATAAAAGTGAACTATTTAAAGGGCTGATCATTTTTTTTACACTTATAATGTTAGTCAAGCTGTAATTTAGTTTTAAATCAGTTGTTTTTACTATTATTATTATTATTCAAATTCTATATGTATTAGACCTCCATTTTGATTGTGAAAGACAGTGGCTTGGTTTATGTTTTTATTATTTCACCTAAAAAAAATCGGTCAGCATTTAGTCATTCTCATGTTGTTCCTGCATAACTTACTTTCTTCTGTGAAACACAAAATTTTCAGTGCACAATGAATGGGATCAGAAGATTTTAAGCTTAAAAAAGAATACAAAAAACTATCAAATGGTCTACAAGATACACTACCACTGATAAGCTACCACTAAATATTGTAGAAACTTAATTTGCTGTAAAGTTGCTTTGCAACGATTTGTATCGAGAAACGCTCTAAATTGCAAATATATTTATTCCTGTGATGGTAAAGCTGAATTTTTAGCATCATTACTCCAGGCTTCAGTGTCACATAATCCTTTAGAAATCACTCTAATAGGCTGATTTGGTGCTTAAAAACTGTTTTTATATATAATTATCAATGTTGAAAACAGTTGTGCTTCTTAATATTTTTTGTGGAAACCATGATTTATTTTTTCTAGAATTCTTCTAGGATGAATCTTACCGGCCCCATATGTTGTATGTGCACTATATTTCAAGTTTTCTGAAGGGAAAATTTCCAGTGTCTGTACATTTTCGTCTTTTCCTTACACAATTTACATTGTTATTTATTGGAAATCTTCCCTTCAAATGAGCCAGTCGGATCAAAGTTAGCAAGAACTTAGTTGAACTAAAACTCAATTCATGAATGAATCAATTAGACAGCTTTGTAAACTGGATCGACTGAGTCTTTGAAAAGATCTGACTATGAAACAAATTATTTGTTTCAGTGAACTATTCCTTTAATTCTAAACAACCTGTTTTTGCAGCTAAATAAATGTTCTGGGTGGACTGGAATGGGAGTTTGGACTGTGAATGTCTAAGTCGTACATTAAAATATTTTAATTATTTTACATTTTATGTCCCTTTAAGCATTTTTTTCTTCTCCCAACATTCATTCAGCATAGAAACAAACTCCAAAAATCAAAGTACTGTTTTCTGGCCCTCACAAACTAAAGGTCTATGATGCCTCTCTACATCAACATCACAGTCTAAACTAAAAAAAGACACAGGAAAAGAATGGGTGGATTTCACAGACACTTACAATCATAGCATTACACTATAACCATCACAAAGCCTGAGAAAACTAGATGTGAAACGAAATGAGAACAAGTGAACCCTCCCCTTCAACAACACACACAGACACAGAGAAAATGAGCTCTGGACAGTAGAAATGGCCGGTGGTGGGATGAATTATTAGCAGCTGTTGGGAGCAGTTTGGAAGGGCATTAAACGTAGGTGGAGAAGCCATTTCTCTCCACCGCAGATGGGAGTTTAAGATCATATAATGGAATAAAGGAATTTATTGGGCTGGACTTCAGTGGAAAACAGAGGAGCGGGACATTTTTCCCTCTGGTGTGCTGCAGCCACATTAGAGCTTCTGTTTACAGTCGAATCTCAGACTGCAGATGGAAGAACAGTCATAATCAGAGCAGCAGACGTGGAGACCGTATCTCCACCTACAGTTAATGCCCTTTCCAACAAGCTGCTAATAATTCATCCCAGCCATCTAAATACGTCTCCAGAGTCTCAAGACTTTTTTGCTAAAGTTATTTGCATACCCCACTTTTCAAAACGCATATAAATCACACAGAATGGAGTGTATTGAACATCTGAAATAGCACAAAGTTTCCTGTGAGGGGTAGGTTTAGGGGTAGGGTTGGTGTAGGGCAATAGGCTGATAGATGACTCTGTAACCCAAAGTTGGGAACTGAGGGCCATCCCAGCTGATGCGGAAGCGATTATACCATTCATCAGACACTCTGAGGTTACTGGGTCCAGAAAGTGGCACTAACCAATCAGAAGAGGGATTAAGATTAGTATTTGCGGTCAAGTAATATAAATTATTGGCCAATTGAATTTTATAAAAACTTACATGATTTGAATTGCACAACATGATATATCATTATAATGTTCAGGTATAAAAAAAGAATAAATAAACAAATGGATTACTAATAAATAATTCATAATTAATAAAAGTTAAACTTTATAAAAAGTTAATAAAAGTTAAACCCCCAAAAAAGATAAAAAAATTTGGGGTCAGTAAAGTTTCTTAATATTTTTGAAAGTCTCCTATGCTCACTAAGGTTGCATTTATTTGATAAAAGAGACAGTAAAAACAATAATATTGTGAAATATTCTTACAATTTAAAATAATCTTTATTATTATAATATATTTAAAAATGATAAATCATTAATTAATTATTAGTAATTTCTTCCTGTGATGGCAAATCTGAATTTTCAGCAGTGATTACTCCTATTTTCAATGTGACATGATTTTTCAGAATTCATTCTAATGTCATGCTTTGGTGCTCAAGAAACATTTTTTTGCTATCATTATCAATGTTGAAAACAGTTGTGCTGCTTAATATTTTTGTGCGTCATACTGTGATACTTTTTTCAGGATTCTTTGAAGTCCAAAAAAATAACAATTATTTGAAATGTATGTTTTGTAACAATGAAAAAATCTTTACTGTCACTTTTTTACTGTCACAATTTCTTTGGGACAAAAAACATCTTACTAACCCCAAACTTTCGTACGGTAAATAAATCAATCAATACGTTGATAAAGAAATTTAAGTTTTTTGTTTTTTCTCTCTCTCTCTCTACAGGCTGTAGTTCTTCCCTGAATTCCCAGCATTCTCTTATAAAAGTCTCTGTTTTCACATAATTACCACTCCTCCGCAGAGAATATCACCCCACTCATAATTAATTCAACCTCAATCAGAAACCAGGTCAAAGGTTTTCCAAGACAACTAGCAGACACCTGATCTCAAGATCAGTGTGAGGTGACATTAGCATCTCTAACCAGACACTGGGCTGTAATTTGAAGGTGATCACTGGGAGAAAATTGTAGATAATCAATCCCATCAGAGGAAAGCAGGCGGGTTTGATCAGTTCATTAGAGTAGGAACACCAAGGCTGGAATGCATAAGATTTATTATGCTTATTTATAGGTAAAATCAATATTATTTAACCTGTTGAAGAATGTCTATTTATTTTTTTTCAATTTATTTATTGCAACTCCAAAACTGCATCTCAGTGCTGTGATGTAAGAGGATCTATTTTCAGCTCATTCGCACTATATCTGGTACATAAAACAATTAGATATGCCATTCATATCATCAAGACAAACGGGAAATTAGTAAGAGCTGAACAATTCTATGCAGATTTAGAATTGAGAGTCAAAAGATGTTGGTTACATTCTGATTCACCAAGCTTAAAAAAGGGAAAAAGCAGGTATGTTTTTTAACATGTGATTAGTTAGATTAGAAGTGAATCTGCCTCAGGTTCATCACTGCTTTACGGTCAAATTAATTAACTCATTGAAATCACTAACTAACATGGAACTAAATGAGATCACGTTCCTGTTAATACAATGAATGGCATTGTGTTGCATTTTTACTTGATTTATTAAAACAGGATTCAAAATTCATTTATTCCAGCCTGGGAATTGAACCCAGGTCGTTCTGCATAACTAGACACTAAATATTTCTAATGCTGCATAAGAACATGCTAAACATTTAGTACGTGTGAGTTGTTGACGTTTTTAATATTTCAAATTAGATGAGCAGAGTTGTGTGCTAATGAAGTTTTAATTTTATGATTTCTAAAATGAAGCAAAGGGAGCCAGGACACAACTCAAATCCATAACTATATAATTATGCCAAAGTAGTATGTAATTAGCATAACTGCATCTGTTTTGAAAGAAGTACACAAAATGTATTTCATTTATTGTAACTCCAGCAGCATTTGTTCATTCATACTCACATGTTTTGCCGGTAGAGGCCTTAGACAGAGCTGTGGACTCTCCATCTGCATAAATAGGGGTCACTGTGATCTTGTACCTTGTGTCTGAGAGGAGAGGTTGCAGGATCACACTTCTTCTGTTTCCCGCGACAAACACCTGAAGAAGAGCAGAATATTCAATACCAGACAAAGCACGGTGTGGGTGTAGGTGCACCAAATGTCCTTGAGGTCTCTATGTAGAAACCAGCTTCATAATAGAAGTAAATCATTTACAAACATAATGCAGAAATTTTGAATGATTAGTATTAGGGTTAGTATATAATCATTTTATTTAGCTTCATTTAATAACAATAGAAGTTAATGGGATGACCCATCATCATACAGTATTAAAACATGTGTGTGTGTGTGTGTGTGTGTGTAAATACAGAGCTGTGATAAAGTAAGTACATCCCAGAAGGTTTGGTCTTTTCTTTCAATATATGTGGGCATATGGATACTGGAACTTCATTTGGACAGTATCAATGAGAGAAAGTGGTATAATTAAAAAAATTATAATAATAATAATAATAATAAAAATTTTACTTTGAAAGTTTTTGTCCAACATACAATAATGTTCAAACGTTTGGGGTTAGTCTTTTTTAAAGAAATTATTATTATTATTATTTTTTCAGCAAAGGATCCACTAAACTAATATAAAATGACAGTACAAACTTTTACAGGTTTACAAAAGATTTATATTTTAAATAAATGCTGTGTTTTTCTATTCATCAAAGACAAATTGTTTGTTTCCACAAAAAATATTAAACAGTTAAATAAATATTAGCAAATAGTAGCAATTGTTTTCAACATTGATAATAAAGAAATGTAAATATTAGCAATTGTTTTCAACACTGATAATAAAGAAATGTTTCTTGAGCACCAAATCAGCATATTAAATTGATTTCTGAAGGATTGTGTGACACTGAAGACTGGAGTAATATTTGCTGAAGATTTAGCTTTGCCGTCACAGAAATAAATTACATTTTAAAATAATTCAACTAAAACAGTTTAATACAGTTTTAATAATATTTCACAATATTACAGTTTTACGGTATTTTTAATCAAATAACTGCAGCCAAAAGCATTAAAAACATCTGACCCCAAACTTTTGAACTGTAGTATAAATATCATCTATGAATATGTGCATAAACATCTAAATCCGAAAAAGTACATTTGCCCCCTTTGGCAGGAATCATTTCTTGTAGGTGTTTCTTATAATTGTCCATCAAGCACTTTTTGGTATAATGTGGAATTCATGGTTAGTTTTATGACATTATTTGCAACTCCAAAACTGCAAAAACCCTCAAACCACAACACTCCCACTACTGTGCTTGTGAGTATGAGTTTCTCATTCTCAAATGCTCAAATCTGTCCTTTGACTCATTTGTCTAGAAGTTCTTCATGTAAATATCGGTTGGCAAACTTCAGTTCTTTTTCTGGAGAGCAGAGGATTCGTCTTTGCTGACCTGCCATATAGACTATATTTGTACAGCCCTTTTTAATGGTTGACTTTCTGAAGCATATTGAAGCATTTCCTGAAGCATTATTGTACATACAGTGGAATGATGGATTGTAAACAGTTAGGAAATGGCTTTAAATCTATTTTTCAGACTCATACGCCACAACATCTTTTCTTCTGAGGGGCTCAGGCAGCTCTGGTGCACCTTGTTGTAATATTAAACACTTGACGTACAGTAGTGATAAATGTAAGGTTGTAATAACTTTTTCCACTAAAGCATTATTATAAAGGATTACATTTTTCATGGGGTGCACTTACATGGTATGTAAGAGGAGGAGAGCGATAACTGCTAGTGTAAGGAGTGATTGTCAAGGATAAAGAAAATGCCAGTATAGTGAAACAATTCCAAATATTTGAGTGTTTGATCAGCTCTCATAAAAGCTATTCTGAGTATAAGCCAAAAGACTAGAAATCTGTGTACTGAACTTTAGGGAGCTGGATGAAAATCAAGAAAGCCAGCACTCAGCTCTGTAGCCAGCATCCAATCACTGCAGTCATTCACCACAGACACACCATTAATCACACACAAACACACACACACACACACACACACACACACACACACACACAATCATGGCAGTCCATTGCTTGTTGATAATGAAACGTTGGGTTGCATTATGTGGAGTGGCTTCCTCTGTGTGAGAATACTATCAATGAACAGACTACAAATAAGACAAATGGAAATAAGTCATTTTGTGAATGTTACCCATGCAAAGATTAAGAGGTTATTGAAGAATTCAGAATTCAAAAATTAGAGGTTCTGAATTGACAACATTTTAAGTGTATGCCTTTTACATTTTAAATTCAATTTTGAATATTAAATTATTGGATGTTCGTACATTCATGACAGGCTTGTGTTGTGTTTTGTTCCCCATGTGCTCCCTGTGTCCCAGGGTTTAGCCCTTTTTTGGTTATGTTCCTGTCCTGTTTATTTCATTGAGTTCATTAGTCTCCACCTGTGTTTGTTTATTTGATTCAGGTGCATTTAATTTACTCCCTCATTATGTCTTGTATTTAAAGTGTAGTCTGTCGGATGTTTCTTTGTTGTTTCCTACGTGTGTGTCCCTGATTCCGTGTGAAAGAATAAAGTATGTATCACCGTGAATTCCCCTCTGTCTCCACGTTCCTCACTCCTCACAGTAGGGAGCGTAACAATTAAAAGTAATGATTTCTATATGTTTTGCCCAGCACAGGCATTAAATAAATGTATAACTCTGGAATCAAATCATTAGTTACCACAGCAGACTGCACAATATGTTCAGAGTTTATGCTGTGACTGTGTGACATATTTTTATATCCATAAGTGTACTCAGTGCACCTATTTCCCTTATTAATACAGTCTTACACATAAAACTGAATCATACACTAAATGCACTACTGTTCAAAAGTTTGTGGTTGGTAATATTTTTATTGTTCTCTTTTGTTCACCAAGGCTGAATTTATTTACATAAAAAAACAACTATATTGTGAAATATTACCATTCAAAATAACTATTTTATTCTATTATTTTCTATTTGAATACTTTGATCAATTTCATCTTTACTGAATAAAAATATTAACTTATTATAATTTTTTTTTTTTTAATTTTCGTATTGACCCAAAACGTTTGAACGGTAGAATGTGCAGAAAATTATGTTCAATTTTAGCTTCCTTTGATCAGTCAGGTGTGGTAGTCCATTGTCAAGAAGGTTCTGTTTGACCACCTGCTGTTTTAGACCCTCCTGTTTTTGCTGTGCAGCGTCCTGCAGAACGACTCTCATTAGCGGAGCTGTCCACCAATCCGTGGTGCTGAAACCTGAACGCAGGAGATCGTCTCTCTTTTTAAACTTTGCTGGAACTTTCCCTCAAATGAGGCGTGCTCTCCCTTACTATCCCTCTCAGATGTTCTCTCTCTATTTCTCACATTTTGCTCAGTGACCTAAATGGCACTTGAAAAGATAATAGAATTTCCTTTTTCCCAGTCCCATCTCCTTTATCCATCTCCTTTATACCTTGACACCAATGATTCTCCAGGAGAATTACAACCCAGGAGAGGTCGATATTCTGTACAGTTAGGGGCGACAAGTCACCAGAGTTTGAATTAAACTTTACACCACGAAAGATCTTAACCGTGCCAGACCAAGGTTGCAGCAAAGTCAGCCAAATGCCACAAAACAGCAGATTCCTACATCAGAAGAACAGCCATGTTTTAATTCACTCCTGCAATTCCTCGCCATATGATTATGCACTGCAGGAATGTGACAAAGGGACTTCCAGTGCATGCATTTAAAAAGGTCCCTTTGAGCAAGACATGTTCCTTGCTATAGATAACACAAGCAGCAGAGCTGCATCATTCAACTCCACTTACCCGGAGGAATATGATAAGCCTGCAATATTATAGCACAGAGGTAATAAAGTGTTCCGTTATATTTTTATAGCACAAGAGCAATATAGGTAGGGTTTTGAAATAACAGCCTCGCTGGGACACAAATAAGACAAGTGTATGTTGCCCCCTTTATGTACTCGGATTCGGAGAGTGCAGTTAAACTGTTTGAGAAGACAGGAAGATGATGATGACAAAAAGCGAGCACTTGTGTTGTTATATTAACATTAGTTATGGATGTCTGTGTGCTGCGGTTATGTTTACTCACTGTCTCTTCTGTGCGGTCTGCACTGACATATGTCACTTTGTACTGCTCCACGTCTGAGTCCAGCACCTCCCAGTTCACTTGCATACTGAAGGGTGTCTCCTCGTCCACCCACAGGTTACTCACTCCCAGATGAACAACTAGATGATACAGATCAACTTAGACACAATACATTCTGGGGTATTGATCTACCCATCTATCCATCCATCCAATGTTCAAATAACAGTAGCATAAAGTCATATTTGTCTTACATGCTATAGTGGAGGGAAAAGTGGTGTGAACTTCTGTGGTCCAGCCCACTGAAATCAAAAACAAAACAAAACCAAAAAATCAAAGCAAATCAAAAAGGAAGACAAAGCAATAAAGAACAACAAAAAACAAATTGATAACAAATGACAAAAAAGAAAAGCAAAGCAACGAAAGAAGACAACGCAAAACAAAACCATAGCAAAGCACAAAAACAGCAAAGCAAAAAATTAAACAAAGCAAAACAAAAAAGCAAAGCAAAGCAAAACAAAGCCAAAGCAATGCACAAAAAACAAAGCAAAGCAAAATAAAAAGAACGACAAAAAACAAATCAATAACAAATGACAAAAACAAACAAGAAAAGCAATTTAAAAAACAAAGCAAAGCAAAACAAAAAATCAATTAGTCAGTTTGAAATCATGTGAATTATCTGGTTGGTGTTAAACATTTAAACAACATTATTTCATGTCTTACATGTATTCTCAAACACAACCACAGGGCTGCTCTCCGTTTCGTCTTTATAGATGGCTGAGAGTGACACCTTATACTCTGTAAAAGGACTCAGGTCTTGAATCACATATGAGTCCTCAGCTCCATTCAGCATCCTCTACACAACACACAAACACAAAAGCACCCAGTTACAGTATAAACCAGAACTATAACAACATTTCAACAGTGCCGAGAGTAGGTAGGGCTGGTTTGGCCTGGTTAAACCTCCTGTTTGGTAATCATCAACAAGTGGTTTGAGAGTTAATTAAAATCAGATATTTTGGAATGCATGGGACAACACCACCTTTTTTTAAATAGCCTGTAGATTATGTTACAGACCAGACAAACCACACTTGACAGCAAAGAAGATACTTTACTGTCAATTGTAAAGATTTATCACCAAGTGTCGGAGGGAGATGATGAAGAAAATGGACAGTCCAATTATGAAGCAAGGCCACATCGATTTCAGCCAAGTTCCAAGAGTGATGGCTCTGATGAAGAGGCCCACCACAGTCATCATCGAGAGGATGCTGAGATGTAGACTAACAAATTATTTTCTTATGATTCTGTATGTCGTAAACTCTAGTCTGCTTATGGTTGAACCATTAGATCAGGGATCCTCAAATCTGGCTCGCGAGATCCCCTTTCCTGCAGAGTTTAGCTCTAACCCTAATCAAACACAACTGTGCATGCTAATCAATGTCTTCAGGATCACTAGACAATCACAGGTAGGTGGGTTTGATCAGAGTTGGAGCTAAACTCCAGATTTGAGAATACCTGCATTAGATCAATGACAGATGGCATTTTTAAATGGAGAAGATTGGATTTTTACTCAGATTTGTGTGCGTCATTGTGCAGAACATAAGTCAACAGTATTTTCTGTCCATTTTCCAGAAAAAGTCATAGTAGCTGCAACAGTATACAGACAAAACATTGTGTTTTGTCTGGTATAAATGTTGGTGGCTGCTCAGCGAAGCACCTATGCCATGCCAGCAATAAGAACATGCATTAAAAAGCAAGCCTGCTATCAGGAAAGCTTTGGATCTCAGTCAGCTCGGGGCCGTCCCAGCAAACCCCTGTGTTTCTGGGCTGACTCCTCTGCTCTGGGACCTGAAGCTTCAGCCACATTCCAGTCTGCCTCACAGCATTTGATTATTTTCTGCTCTGGTGGCTCTTGGTAAACATATCGACCTGCGGTGCTATCTATAAAAAACAGCTGCACTGACTCCTGGCCAGTAATAAAAATTTTCTCCGTCACACACTCACACACGCTTGTGTCTGTAGTCACGCGTGGCAGGGATAGCGGTGACAGGACGTGTTCAGTATGCTGCTGGTTGTTTTGGTGTTTGTGAGTGCCGTTGACTGGTCATTTCTAATAGTGAATTACAGTTGGCCCCAGGCTCCGGGTTAGGAGAAAGTATTGATTGACTCATAAATCATTTTCAAGGACCTCATAAAATCCATATTTCACTTTCTCTTTTTCAATATATATATATATAGTTTTTTGGAACTAACATCTAGCAATGTATGTTTAAAACAGCAAGTAAGTCACAATGGAGAAACATTGTAGAAAAGTCAAAGAGAAAGCAGAGAACTCAAGGGTTCAGGGTTTGGCTGGTTAGCATGTGCCCCTGCTGGAAGATGGCATGACTCCACCATCCTACTGCCAAAAAAACATCTGTCTCCACTAACAGACAAAATGCTTTTGCAAGCCACATCAAAAATATTTCATTATATTATAGTAATATTTTGCCAATGACCAACTGATTCATATATGTATTTAATTTTTAAGAGTTCTTATAAGCATAAACAGACTTATTATCAGGGGTGCACATAAGTGGTGCGCATGTGCGCATCCACAACCAAAATAAAAAATGCACTGTGTAAATAAGTTCAAACGCTCATTTGCATTCTGACATGGTTGACAGCTATTAATGCACAATTACCATTTTAGATCGACAAACTGTAATACTGTATAAGATATCAATCAGCAGCACTAAACCGCTGCATACTTCCCTGCAAAATAAAATTTTGCTGATTTTAAGTTTGAAAATGATGAAAATTCATCTTTTAAAAAAGAAAATATTAGCTTTTTTTAGGTTTACTATAAAATAATTGTATTTTTATTTAACAATCCCTTTTTATTTTAAAATATAATAGTATTATCACACTTTATTTTTTTGTTTATTATTTTATTTGACAAAAAACTAAATAAATTAAGTGCAATATTAATATTATCACTATTATTTTTTTGTATATAGTTATATTTGGTCACACTATGTGCAGTGTGAGGACCAAACTAAATTTCCAGATGCTCTTATGAGAACCAGGCAGAAAAACTTATGTGCACCCCTGCTTATTATTAATGTTTATATTATATTATATTATATTATATTATATTATATTATATTATATTACAAAAAATTAATTAAAAAGCAAAACCAAGTACCTTCTAGGTGCACCTTCTAGCTCTAACATCATTTTATTGTAATTGACTGACCTCCATCTCTTGTCCTCCTTCAGTGGGTGACCAGGCCATCTTATAGAGCACCACATCTCTGGCAGGATGTGACCAGCTGACCCGGAAACTCTCTGAGGTCACCTCTGATGTCATCAGGCTGAACGGGGCAGGCACAAGCTCTGAATGAGATCAAATCAAACACGGTCAAGCAATCTAAGTTCCTTTGCTAAAGTGCAATTAGTTTTTTTCACAAAAATGGACAATTATGTTCAAAGTGGGTTACATACAAACTAAAACAGTAGTTAACTGCAAATAATAATAATAATAATTTCAGTATTTTGTCTTGTGTTCCAGTAAAATATGTAAACATCCTTGCAACAAGATAGATACACTTGAAAATTTGTGTTCTTCTTTTGTGTTCCACAGATGAAAGTCATAAGGCTTTGACATGACATGAAGTCGAGTAAATGATGACATAATTTTCATTTTTGGGTGAACTAATCTTTTAATTTTCATTCGATGAATGAATTCCTGAACATTCTCATTTCCACAGAGCGACCGGCATTTACCATAACAATCACTTTTAAATTCAAACGTATTCCCTAGAAATTTCTCCATGTAACCTGATTACTACAACGACAATGTCAGGACACCCATGGAACAATGAAACTCAGGAAATGAAGGCCCAGATCTATTATAGATTCCAGCAGCCAATCAATATTTACTGAAGGTAACAGCCTGCCTAGAAAGTGATGCTTTGTCCAGAACAGAGAAAGCATCCATTCCCGCTTTCCAGCTGGAGAAAATTGCAGACTCTGTGTGTGACGAATATTGTAAATTCTGTTGGAGGAGGAAAATACGACAAAATATGCACATACTTGTACATGTTAAATCAGCACTGCTGCACGTAGATGAGATTTGTTTTTGCCGTGCTCATGATAATGAATACCAATGGGCCATGTCTCTTTTGGGTTTGGAAAAATAATTTGCATAAATCCACACCTACCACCCAGCATATGCTGGCATCCTTAACGCAGCCAAAACACAGAATTACTGAATTCACCCATTTAAACATTTTTAAGCAGTTCATTGGCAGGGATCAAACAGTCTTACTTGTATTAAATCCACCACTGAGCGCCTCTGAATGGCCGGCATCGTAGAGAGCAAAAACTGCAACGGTGTACTCTGTTAAGGGTGACAGGTTCTTCAAGTACACATTGGTGATTGGACCCAAATCCACCTGGACAGAAACAAAAAATAATGACACAGCAAATATAATGCAGGCCCTTGTAGTTATTTATTCTTAAAGTATTATTTGACTAATATTCAGTAATTCAAATAATTTTATATTAGGGATGCAACGATATTATCAATATTGTGATCGCAATAGCAAATTATCGTGGTCACATGACGATATAAAACGATAGGTCTTCCGGGCAAAAAGTGTAGTTTTTAAAATATATCTTATTTTTATCTTATCTTATTTTAAAATAAAAAGTCTTTAAAGTTGTGTTTTGGGCCATTACGCTTTGGCACAATATCTGTCAAACGAACTAAAACCAAAAGCACAATATGGCTTAATCCCTTCATCAAGTCTGTTTGCGCTGTGCATTTCAAAGCGAAGTGCACACATTGTTTAGGAGATCAGCTCATGATCCGGTGTTTTCCGCGCCTCAGAACGGCTTCGTTCACAGTGAATGAATGCAGTGAACTCGTTTATTTCACGTGCTGTGAGTTTAGCACGCATTTAGGAACGCAACAGCCACCAGTTAAGTTTTATTTTTGCGGCAGATGATTACAGCATTTCACTAGATTTGTAGTGAGACGCGTTTTTGTAAACATGTTTTCACTGAAGCTTGAGTTCCCCTTCGGGAAACGCTAGGGGAATGCCTTCAGCAATACCAAGCTCTGAATCATATGTGTAATCAGTCGAATCGATGGGCAGGACGTCAGAGGCGGGTGACGTCATGACCAGGAAGCTTTATAAGCACGTGAGGTGCAGCCGGCGCTAGCTTTCTGTCATTCAGCAAAGCTCTCTGTGTGTGTCGGTCACGATTTATGTTCTGTGAGTCTTATTTATTGTTGTCTGTCCAAAAGTTGCACAAGCATTCAAAATATAAGCTCCAGCAGAAAGAAAAAAAGATGTCTAAACTAAAGACAAAAAAGGGGCGAAAGCAGATCGCGTTACAGACTGTGTGTTCCTCCCTGCCCACACTACATCACGAGCGGGGATACACACAGTTTGTGCATGGTCTGCTTGGGAGCGAAGCATGCGGCATCGGCTCTCGAGAGGGCCGACTGTCCGCATTGTGAGCAGTTGCCACTGCGTTTGCTTCGCTCCCGGAAAGTTCTCTTTGAGGAGGGAGCCTTCACCAGCATTCCTCACGGTGCTGGCCCCGCTTCCGCCGAGGCGGAGCGGCAGCTGCACTCGTGGGGTTCGCAGCTGGATCTGGTGGAGGGAATGGAGACTGGCGAATCCCTATCTTCTTCCTCACCTGCCAGATCCACTGCTCGCTGGTATCGGAAGCCCGTTCTGCGGCTACTTCCCCCCCGGAGAGCGGGCTCGGCGCTTCTCCTATCTTCCTCCAAGGAGGTTGATGTGGAGAGCGTCGAAGATTCGCCCCCTCAATCCCCACAATATGAGGAGCTAATGGAGGTAGTGACTCATGTGGTTGCCAAGCTGAATATTGAGTGGCCCGCAGAGAAACAGACTGAACCGCAGAAAAGCAAACTCGATGAACGCTTTCTGTGGGCCAAGTCGCTACCTCCATGCCAGAGCCTGCCGTTTTTTCCCGATCTCCACACCGAGGTGTCGAGGTCGTGGAAGAAATCATTCTCGGCCCGCTTATTCGTCCCTGCCTCTGATTACTATGGAAATGTGGCGGGGGTGAGGGAATGCGGTTTCAGAGCGATGCCCCGGGTAGAGCAGACGCTTGCTTATTCGTCCCTGCCTCTGATTACTATGGAAATGTGGCGGGGTTGAGTGAATGCGGTTACAGAGCGATGCCCCGGGTAGAGCAGACCCTTGCGAACTATCTGTCACCTGGCGCGGCGGCGTCTCTGAAGGCTCCGGTCTTGCCCTCTAAGCCGCTGCGAACCACTTCAGAGCTGGTGGGCAAGGGGTACTCGGCAGCGGGTCAGGCTGGTGCGTGTCTGCACACTATGTCAGTGTTACAGGCGTACCAAGCCGACCTGCTAAAAGAGCTAGATGAAGGCGAGTTAAAGCAGATGATGTCTTCGAACTAAGGAGAACCGTTGATTTAGCTCTTCGCGCCACCAAGGAGACCGCCCATGCTATTGGGCGGTCCATGGCAGCTCTGGTGGCAGCGGAGAGGCATTTATGGTTGACCCTGTCCGATATGAAAGAGAAGGACAGGGTCTGCCTTATGGATGCCCCGCTTGTGCCTTCTGGTCTGTTCGGCGACGCCATCGATTCCGTCGTCGACAGATACCAGGAGGCTCGTAAACAGGCGGCGGCATTCCAGCGGTTTCTCCCTCGCCGTTCTATAGCTCTGGGGGCTGCTGGGCGGGAGCAGCCCCAGCCGGGAACCAGCTCCTCATATAGAGAGGTTCAAAAACAGAGCGTTGCCTCTCGCGCTCCCCCGCAGCGGGACCGAGGACGGCGGCACTCTAAGTCCCTCGACAAAGCTTTCCTGACAGACCTAAGTCCAGGACTGCTGAGGGCCGCCCCTACTGGGGAAGAGCAGGGTACACCGCATTACACGGTGTCCGTCTCTCCTCAGCGCCCTCGGGAAACCGTTCTGCCAACCCTGCCAGTGTTCCAGGGCACAGCGGTTTCCAGCGAAGGTTTCTCTCTGTATTTTCCGCCTGGGAACGTAGCGGAGCCGAGAGCCTCACCACCCCTTCGGGGGTCTCTCATGCAGCTAGCTCGGCGATCTCCTGCCGGTCCGCCGCTTCAGGGGACCCAGCTAGCAGCTCCAAATACACCAGAGGCCAGTCTCAAGAGACTGGTTCCCTTAGTACATTATTTAGCAGCGTGGAAACTACTGCCAAATGTATCTCATTGGGTCCTGCAGACTGTAGAAAGAGGCTATCGCATTCAGTTTGGCCCTCCGACGCCCCCTTTCAAAGGGGTTTTTCTCACAGTAGTGGGCCCAGAGCAGGCTCTGGTATTAGAGCAAGAAGTCAATACTCTCTTGAGGAAGGAGGCCATCGAGGTGGTCCCTCCTCTTGACAGGGAGTCCGGGTTCTACAGCTGGTACTTCATCGTTCCAAAGAAGTATGGAGGGTTGTGTCTAATTTTAGATCTGCGGCTATTGAACCACTCAGTCATGCGCCTGAAGTTCAAAATGCTCACTGTCGGACAGGTCGTGTCTCAGATCCGGTCCGAGGACTGGTTCGTCACGATAGATCTAAAAGATGCGTATTTTCATGTCTCGTGTCTCCTGCTCGGATCGAGTCGATCCGCACTACAGTCGTGGGAGTCAGAGAAGGCCGGTCACTCACTGTCAAGCAGTTTCAAAAACTTTGGTTCTTGTCCGGGCCGGTGGTGGGAGCTCCTTGTCGCCGCGTAACGCTAGCGATGGCCGCGTCCCTCACCGGTTGGGGAGCAATCATGAGTGGCCACCCTGCCCGTGGTCTGTGAAGTGGTCGCCATCTCACGTGGCACATCAATTGCCTGGAGATGCTGGCCGTGTTTCGAGCCCTCAAACACTTTCTTCCAGACCTAAGAGATCGCCATGTGTTGGTGCGCACCGACAACACAGCGGTGGTCTTTTATATCAACCACCAGGGAGGTCTACGTTCACGCCCCTTATACAAGCTGGCGCATCAGATCCTTGTGTGGCCCCAGGGCAAGCTCCTCTCACTGAGGGCAGTTCATATTCCTGGGCATCGCAATATGGGAGCAGACATCCTGTCGAGGCAGGGGCCGAGGCCCGGGGAATGGATGCTTCACCCAGAGGTGGTGAAGCAGATATGGAGAGTTTTTGGCCAGGCTCAGGTGGACTTGTTTGCGACTCAGACGACAGCGCAATGTCCCCTCTGGTTCTCTCTGACTCATCCAGCTCCACTGGGGCTGGATGCTATGGTACAGACTTGGCTGAGGCTTCGTCTGTACGCCTTTCCTCCGATCGCTCTGCTCCCGGGAGTTCTAGAGAGAGTGCGTCGGGACGGGGTCCGTCTATTGCTAGTAGCCCCGTTTTGGCCGGGTCAAGTATGGTTCCACGGACCTGATTTCTCTCCTCGACGGCACTCCATGGGAGATTCCCGTCAGGAGGGATCTCCTCTCACAGATGGAGGGTATGATCTTTCACCCCCGCCCAGAGTTGTGGAAGCTGTTGGTGTGGCCCCTGAGGGGGCACAACTCATATCTTCTGGTCTCTCAACCGAGGTTGTTGAGACCATCCTCCAATCTAGAGCTCCCTCAACGAGGAAACTGTACGCCCTGAAGTGGAGGCTCTTCACTTCATGGTGCGGAGACCGCCTGCTTGACCCAGTTAACTGCCCGATTGGTACAGTGCTGGAGTTCTTGCAGGCCCATTTCTCCGCGGGGTTAACCTACTCCACCCTGAAGGTCTACGTGGCGGCTATAGCGGCCTGCCACGCCCCTCTTGATTGTCACTCAGTGGGCAAGGACCCCCTTGTTACACGTTTACTCCGCGGTGGGATGAGGCTCAGGCCTCAAGTACGATCTTGTGTCCCTCCTTGGGACCTCGCTGTGGTGTTAGAAGCTCTCTGTGGGGAACCATGGTTAAATACGTAACCTGGGACGTTTTCCTTCATAATAAAAGCTCTACTGCTGTTTCCGTCCAAATAAAAGTTTAAAAGTGCAGTATGAGTTGCTGACAGCTAGCGCTTTAAATGCAGTCCAAATTCAAAATATCTCTTTCAAGTGTAGATTTTATTATTTAAGTGTAATTTTCCCTACTTTAGTGTAAAGCAAAAATAATATACCTAAGAAATTTTCATTTTCATTTATTTTAGTGCAATTGTTTTACAATATGGCTATTACTGTCATTGTTGTTATTATATTCTAATTAGTTTGGCTTCCTAAAACACCAGTGTGAATGTAATATAGACTGAGACAGTATATCACAAATAAAAAAAGGGTTGAGTCCCCTTTAATGTTCAGGTACAAGTCAATTCACTGACTTTTTTCTGACTTTTGTTAGTTAAGAACATGGGTTGGAGCTCTTAATTTTGAACTCTCAAAGTGCATTAGATAGAAGAATTTAACTTTAAAACGTACAAAATTAAAAATTTTTTACCCAATTCTTAATTTGTACTTTTTTAATATCGCAATGAATATTATCACATCGTAGACGTCATATCGCGATATTATCATATCGTGAGATTTTGATATCGTTAAATCCCTATTTTATATACTACACATCTGATTAACTGAGTGTGAGCGTGAATGAGAGCATGTTTGTTTAACAGTGAAACGAGAGCATGTCATGTATTGTAGGTTGTGCTGTAGTGATCACCTGACTGGTCTGGACTCTATCTGTCTTCATATACACGACACGGTAGCCCTTAACCTTACTGGACACTGCGTCCCAGTTCAGTCGCACAGAGCTGTGGTCAACTTCAGTGACCCGCAGGTTACGTGGAGGTCTCAGGGACACTGCAGGAAGACAGGGACTAATGATCAATCACTGACACATACTGAATTTTAAGTGACATTGTTACAACATTAAAGTCACAATGATTTTGATGCACTTTTTAACTGCTCATTAATTTTCCTAAAAACACGTTCTGTCCTTGTCTTCCAACTCGAGAATGAGAGCGTGTAAGACAATGTAACATCTTTGAGTTTAACTTGTTAAGCAGGTAATTTTGATTCATTTTAATGGACCAGTTCAAACTGCCAGTTTTAATTAATTGGTTTTTTTTTTCATTTTAGGATTTAGTAGGATTTTTTTCTTTAATTATACTTTTATTCAGCAAGGATGCATTAATCTCATCAAAAGTGACCATAAAAACATTTATAATGTTAAATGTTGGGAATTTTTTTTTATAAATGCTAATAAATGTTGTTCTTTTGAACTTTCAATGAATCAAATAATTCTTTAAAAAAACGCATTACGGTTTCACCAGATCAGCATATTAAAATGATTTCTCAAGACCAGTGTTGGGCAGTAACGCCTTACTTAGTAACGCGTTACTGTAATTTGATTACTTTTTTAGTAATGGAGTAATTTAACGCGTTATAATTTTAAAAATAGTAAATAGAGTATAGTTACAAGCCAAAGTCTCTATATGTTACTGCCACATTACATTCTGCCATGCCAAACCATGCATGCAGCAGCTGCTTGCTTTAGTTAAAAATAATAGTGTTCTGTGAATGTTGATGCTTTAATAACAAATATTTATCGGGAGCATGTATGCTGGGATTTCATAAATTTAATGGAGAAAAAAGTAACGTAACTAGTAATGTAACTAATTACTAATTACCTTTGAAATAAAGTAATCAGAACAGTAACGTGATTACTTTTAAAAGGAGTAATCAGTAATCAGTAATTTGTTTACATTTTCAGAGTAACTTGCCCAACACTGCTCAAGACTGGAGTAATGACTGCTGAAAATTCAGCTTTGCCATCACAAAAAAAAATACAATATTATATTATATTATTATTTAATATAATTATACTTTTACTTTTTAATTATATTTTATCTTTTAAAATACTTTAATAATATTTCACAATTTTACAGTTTTTACTGTACCTTGACCTTTTAATGTATTTTTTATGTATTTTGACCTTTTAGTTACTTTTTAACTGCAGTGTAAATTGTGCCTTGATTATTGAACTAAAACGCACATCTTAACAGAAGTTTACTCTTTGAATTCAACATTTTTTATATAATTGGCTACTATGGCTGTTTTGATTAAATCATTTTTGATCTGATTAAAAAAACACACAATTATAAGCCATTTCAAAACAAATACACACATACTGATTATTATTAAAAGACTGAAAATATTGAAATATTTTATTTATCTATACCACCCAGCCCTATTACTTGGAGCACTTTTAAACACAGTTTAGTGTTTATTAATTAATTATTCTGAGTTTATCTGTGCAGCAGAATTCAAAATAGAACCATTAAACATAAAAACAGGTTGGAAAGAAAACTGATTGCATGTTTAAATTTAAAACAGACTGGCTTGGACACTCACTGGTGGTCTCCTGAACAGTAATGGGATCACTGGCCTCCTCTCCGAACATGGCATAGACCGTAACGCTGTACTCTGTGTCAGGAATCATTTCAGTCAGTTCCACATCAGTCACCGACTCATCCACCTTTAGCTGTATCCCAAAAACAACGGCAACACCTTTAGAGCAGCATAAAGGCTGCTGAAACACAGATCAAAGTGCAACCAAGGGAACTCAAACGTGATGAATGTTATTCTTCTTCTACGGCTCCCATGAAAAGAGTGTAACAGCAAAGCTACTATTTTGGGGGAAGTGTCATCATGCTGGCACGGTCTTAATGTTTACTCAAACACAGACAGGCACACTCACAAAGACAATTTACAGCCTCACCTCTCTTTCATCTGTAGTCTCACTTCTCAGTGGAGCGTAAAGGATCATGTACCCAGAAGCCCCTTCTGCATCCCTCCAGCGGGCTCTCATGCTGTTGTCTGTCATGTCGTACACCTCGAGATCACTCACTGTTGGTAGAGCAACTGAGATACACACATACATACAAATCAGACATCCATATTTAACACAGACAGACGGTCTGTTTTTTTTTTTGTGTGTTTGCATGTGTGTAAATGCGAACATTGTAGTCATTTTATAAATCCATATTTTTGTCTTATTTTACAGTAAAGGTCAGCGCCAATTGGCCTTGTGGGCAGCACGCTGACATGTAGCTCGGTTGATTTAATTTCATCTTAATTTAATCTTTAAATTAATTTAATCTTTATATTATTCTATATATATAATGCATTTTTAATTACACTTAAAGTTACATTTTAATATCTTTTTTAAGAATAATTTATCATTTTATTTATTTAAGGATAATAATGCTTAAAATGGAGAAAAAAAATAAAAATGTAAACATTTAATTTACTTTAATTCATTACATTTTATTTAGTCTATTTTAAATCCAAATTTTATTTCAGAAAACAACTTATAATATCTAACACAATTTAGCTTCTCATTTAAATCTTGCTTTACTGGAAAAAAAAATACTGATTAAACTATTTGTGTGTCTTGAGTGTTTTTCAGTTTTGGATGTGCGTGTAAAAAATTTGCAAAGATCAGAAGTGTGTTCTGAGTTGGATTCTGTGAAGAGTGTGACTTTGATGGAGTGTGAAGGGAAGCAGAAAATTTTTTCATTCTGGAACAAGCACACATGAACAGTCTTTACAACAATCTTCTACCACAAACCAAAGACTTTAAACATCTTAATCAAACACAAAACGTTTCAGAAGTCAGTTCTGTGTTCTTGAGCTGACTGACATGCGTCTGCTCAAAAGTAGTGGTTAGGAAATAAACATACTGTATATTAGAAGGTGATGATAGAATTAGTGTAAAGGGCATTTAGGAAAAAGAAATAGGCATGTGGTTTGTGGGTAATGACTGTTCTACAGTGAAATCGTGTTGAAGGACACGAGCCTGTAAAACATGTGATTTGAAATGTTCTGTAGTCAAGGTTGGTCGTGGCAAGTTTAGAATATGACTCACGCGTGATCTCGCTGCCTCTCAGAGCGTCACTCGCTGCGCTGCGGTACACAGCGAACACAGCAATCTCGTATTCAGTCAGAGAGTTCAAATTCTGCAGGACGACTGAATTCTCCATGCCGCCCACCACAATCTGTACAGCAAGACAACAGCGGTTTGTGATGCCTAGCACAGCAGTTTTCAGAATGGTTATGAAAAATAGGACCAAAAAACTCAGCTGTATTTAATAATGTGGCAAAGTGCAGCACATAATATTTATAGTATTGAGCTGACACCCATCACAAAAATGGAAATAGAACAAAAGATAAAAGAGGCACTGAAAAGTATTTTGACATTTAAGCTACAGTTAAAAATGCAATACTGTCTTTCTTCTAGATAACAAAATATCAAATGAATTGGGGTTTATTTTTAAGCCAGAAAGCACAAAAAGGATTTGGATATTTTGTGGCATTGCTAATAGCCGAGTAGCATATTTGAAAGTTGCAATAGAGCATTGGTCACCTCTTCCAGAATATCTGCTCCAGTTGGATGGTAAACAACCCGATATTTTTCCACACCGCCAGACGCACGAGTCCAAGACACACAAAAACTATGTGCAGTCACCTCAGAAGTGACCAAGTCCTGGGGTGGAGATGCCGTCTCTTCAGTGGAAAAATCTCCTGTCAATCATGAGGGAATCATGAGGCTTTAGATCAGACATCAGATACTGTATCTAAGTTTAAATAGCAATTAAAACACTCACGTTTAATATCTTTGTCTTGTTGGTCCACTCCATCACACACCTTTCTGGTCAGACCGTCCACTATAGTGCTCATGATACTGAAGTCTGCCACATTATAAACATGTGTTTCCTCTGGTTCAGAGGCGATGGCCTTCAGCTCGTTCTCATCAGCATTCTTCACACCTACGCACAACCACACATATTCACACAGGTTTCTGGAATACCTCAAATAAATAACTTGTGTTGATAATATGTCAGTGTTGACAGTATACAATCTTTTGGCAGATTTTGTAAATACATATTAATGATAACGAAACAAACAAACCCAGCACCATATCACAAATTACACAGCAGTCTGTGAATGCAGGTACGGTTTTATTGAGCCAATTTGTCATTGCACAAAGTATCATCAGAGGACAGGGAAGAACATGCTTGATTTATGAACACTCACAATCAACAAAAGCAAAATAATTTTACTCATAATTTTAACAGAGCAGCTTTGGGATCCACACTGGTTAGAGACAACTGATGGCATCTTGAACTCCAAAAAATTATGTGTGTGTTTACGAGTGTGACAGTAACTCCTGGCAGTCCCACTGTGTAATAACTACATATCCACACACAGAGGGGGTAAAGTGATGAAGTGTCAGTACGGGTAGTAAATCTGAGGAGCGCAAGACCACAGAGCTCAGCAGTGTATCATGGGAGTCTGTTTTGTTCCTCCCTCAATCATTTATTTTCACAGAAGAACTGGCCGTCAAAGGCTTATAGCATGATGCAAGTCATGTCTATAAGAGCATTAATGTTTGGCACCATCTACAGAGGCTGAAATACAGAACAGGGACATTATCCAAACTCAACTAGTCCTGGACATGAATACAGAGAAATCCATTGACGCAAAGATGGCAGCGAGGAGTAGAGAATTGGGGCTCTTAATCCGTTGCTAATAACATATTTCCATAAGCTTAAAAGAGAGTGATTTACATTTTAAAGGGATAGTTCATCCAAAAATTTTTATTTTTATTATTATTTCCTCACACACGCTTTTATTCCAGGTAGTTGCTAAGTATTGAACTCCAGAACCAAATCTCTGATTTGTAAAAAAAATTAAAAAAATTTAAAAAAAAAAAACTTTTATAAACTGGATAAACTGATTCATCAAAAAGATTCACAAATCAAAAATTGCTACTGGTATGATTTCTCATGAGCATGTCAAGACAAATGGAATGAATGTTAAATTTTCAGAGAATATATATTTATTTATTTACTTCTTACTTCCTAATTACTTCCTTACTTGTTTGTTTTTGGTGAATATTAACAAGGAATAATTATCTCAATCTTGAAGTCTCATGAAAAGTTTTTCCATGAATAATGATTTAAATTTTAATATGCTCTGTGATGATTTTCAGTGAATAATGATTTAAATTTTGGTCTATTATGTAAAGATTTTTAGTGAACAATGTTTACATTTTGATCAATTTAAGATTTTTTGTTAATAAAGATTGAAATTTTGATCTTTCATGTGAAGATTTTCAATGAATAATTATAAAAAATGTTGGTCTAGTTTGGCCTTAAAAGTTCACCTTCAGGACACGTCCCTCACCGGTTGGGGAGTGGTCATGAGTGGCCGCTCAGCCCACGGTCTGTGGAGCGGTCGCCATCTCACGTGGCACATCAACTGCCTGGAGATTGATCCGGCAACATCGATTCATTAAACCCTAAGAGCCCCGGGACTTATCTACTAAGCAACAGACCCCTCGTTGCCAACTTGGAAAACCAAAAAAGGTCATGCGATCGCTATAGGATGCTGTGGAAGCGCTTGCTGCAATGCAGCTGCTGTAGATTGCAGCTATTGGGCTGCACAAGCTCTCTTTTGGTTGCGGGACGTCCTCTGGGAGCTCTCAATCAAACATATGCTAGAGGAAGAGAAGAAGAGACAAGCGAATGAGATTAACATGACAGACAATGCAATCAACTCTTCGCATCCTTCATGAATGCAAAATCAAAGCAGCGGCGATATGATATATGCATGCAGAGCTCCATTAATTATTCCTATTCTGGCTTCAATATCATCGCCTGCGTGTACCGCGGCATCTCCAAACATGTGGAATATTCACTAGAGGTGAGAGTCTGCGGGCAGGTCCCGTGGCAGGTCACGTTTATTGTTCTCATTAAATGCATATTAAGATTAACTACTGAATGGACGCTCTTGCTGCTCCTGTCAGATCCCTCATGTCAGAAATTTGTCAGCTATCTTCATTCCCTTGCCGCTGGGGTGTCTAGACTACTAATGTGGGGGGAAGGTGAATTCTTGCTCTTTGGAGTCATTGAATAATGATGAGTTTTTAGCAAGCATGTCTTTTTGGCTACCTTTCAACTTTCTTTGAGGAGAAGTCATTAAGGAATACAGGGATGTTGAAGGGACAAAGATATAGTAAGCCTGGGGTTATAATAGTCTGATTGATATCTGGAGTGGTTCTTAATATGCTAACAATATCACCTAAATAATTATGCATGTGCTACCTACGGGTAGCTATTATGAAATACAGCACACCCAAACAGGATGGGAAATTTAAGAAGTTCTTGATCTCAAAAAGCCCATCAGATTTTATTTTCCCCTAAAACTCTAAAAGGCAAACTTTTAATTTATTTTAAATATTTTTTTAAATAGAATAAAATAAAATTCTGAGTGAGTAAATTTATTTATTTATTTTTTTAAAGTCTCTTACGCTCACTGCAATTATTTGCAATTAATCTCAGGGTAGAAAGCCCATTACATTTTATTTTCCCCTAAAACTCTAAATGGCAACCTTTTATTTTTTATAATATAATATAATATAATATAATCAAAAATGCAAATTTGGGGTCAGTAAGATATATATATTTTAAGTCTCTTATACTCACAATTATTTGATCAAAACACAAAAAAACAGTACTATTGTGAAATATTATTATAATTTAAAATAACTATTCTAGTTTTACTTTTAATCTAGTTTTTCTTTTAAACCATGATACATTGTTTGTCAAATTTAAATTAATAAATATGCAACACTTAAAATATGCAAAACCGTTGCTCTAAGATGTTCACCACTTATTTACTAAAAGAAACATAATGCAGGATTTATTGTAAAATACTTTATAAAACTATAATTTAGTATAATACAATGTAATGTAATGTAATATAACAATACACACTGACAGCACATGTAAAGCAAAATACTTTATAAAAATGTAATGTAATATAAAAATAATAATACACATACATATAAGCCATATACTTGTGAATAGTTTCTAAGTATCTGAGAACAATTCTGAGACTGTATCGGAGCAACAGTGGCATATCAACAGGAAAGAGAGGAGAGAGAAAAACAAAGAGAGAGAAACAATAAGAGAGAAGGCCTTTAATAACTGAAGTGGGCAGTGCGATAAAACATAAAACCAGAAGAAGAGCTCATCTGGGTCTCTCAATGGCATGTTTAAATACCATTCAGCGCCCATTAAGGTTAACAGCTCTAACCAACAGATCTCCCCCTCTATTCCCACTTTTTTTATATCCTAAAGAATGGAGACAGGGGTTATTGAAAAAGTGCGAGGAGAGCGGCTGATCTATCTAGCCTCTGTAGAGCATTTTATTACGGCGGCACTATTCCTCTCTCAAGCTTCAGCTCTCTCTCAACTGCAGGCAACTTTAAAATGTATTAAAATAGAAAACTATTAAAAATATTTCACCATATTAGCACAGTGTTTTTATTATATTTTTGTCAAAAAAATCAAATAAATGCAGCATTAGTGAGGAGACTTCTTTTAATAACATAAAAGAAAATTATCATCCTCAAACTTTTGCAGTCCACTACTTTTCATAGTGGATATACGTATATAGAGATAATTTTTATATTAATCATTTATTAGTTATCAGCCATAACATTAGTTTATCAGTATCAGTCAGAATTGTACAATGTTTTAATATCACCTTTTATTCTTTTTATGTCTCTAATTTAACATAAATTTACTAGAAATAATGATCAAGATATAAGAAATAAAATGTATGAACTTACATTAAAAATGATCAATGTCACTTTTATTATCTCTCTACATAAATACACATGTACATTTGTGTGTGAAGAAATAGTACCCAAAACTACAGCAAACCATATCCTGTATCGTGCTTGTAATGCAAGTCAGCAAAGGTGCATATTTTAATTTCAGCCAACTTTGGTTGAGTGGGCTAAAAGTGGACCACAGATCCGGGGCCCCCCCGGTTCCAGCACCCCTAGCAGACACAAACCTACAGCGTGGAGTGGAGTTATGAGAGCGGAGAAGAGTATTTGTGATGTTGACGTGTGGGAGCATTGATGCAGCCCACATCTAGATTCCTCCAGGCAGACCAGCTGGAAACAGTGATGATTATTATTCTCATTCTCATAGCACTCCTGTTAGATTCTCTTTCTCATTCAGCGCTAAAGAGGTCAGGCAGCTCCAGACCAAACACGCTCGGTCTGCACACTAAACAGCCTACATGCTTTGTTTTACATATTACTTAAGTGGTTCATTTAAGTGCATCACGTCTAAGAATGCATGCTCAGTGTCTGACCAATCACAGACAGAATTCATGATTACTCACCAATCTTATGGTTGAGTTCACTGTCATGTAAAAGTCATCAGATGCCTCTAAGCCTCCTTCTGAGAATGGCCACATAATGCTGTCCAATCTAATATCTTCCATACAAGTTCAAAGGATTCAGTCCTTTAAAGTAAAGGAATTTCAATCATTAATATGGTTTGCAGTCCACGGCTTCTTTACAAGCTCATTTTTTTTTCAAATGACCATTTTCTCCCAGACATGAAGATGATTTATTATGCGGCCTCCATTTATCTGGGAATGAAATTGACTGTGTTGTAATTCTGTCTGGTATTTATTTAATTTTTTGGATGCTTCTATTATTCTCAAGCAGCATTTTTACTGAAGCGCAGGCTTTGGGCTGTGTCTGGGCTGGAGGGATTGTTTTATACTCCGTCTGGGGTTTGCGTGGGAAGAGGCACAGACCAAAAGGCCTCTAGACACTTTGAACATGTCACCGCTAATTTCCAAACTGCCCTTCAGCAACACACTATATACAGCATCTGCTAACAGGCTCTCACACGAGGAGTGATGTTATAGGTACAAATAAATAGAAACCTACAGA